ATAACCACTGACTACATTCAACATTACCCCTTCAATTTCCAACTTCAAACTGATCACCCTGTCTGACACTCTTTTCACCTCTAAAACATTCCTCACGAGCTCCTCCTTCAGGATCACTCCTATCCCATTTCTCTTCCTGTCCACACCATAATAAAACAGTCTGTATCCCCCTCCAATGCTACGCACTTTGCTTCCCTTCCACCTGGTCTCCTGCACACACAGTATATCTACCTTCCTTCTCTCCATCATGTCCACCAGCTCTCTACCTTTCCATGTCATTGTGCCAACGTTGAGTCCCTATTCTCAGACCTATGCTCCTGCCTTTCCTCTTCTCTCTCTGTCTACGACGACTCCTACCTCCTCTCCTTCTTCAACCAACAGTAGTCCAATTTCCACCAGCACCCTGTAGGTCAACAGCACTGGTGGCGGTTGTTGTTAACCCGGGCCTCGACCGATCCAGTATGGAATTCACACTGATGATTCACATGCTTAAATTTGGCATGTTTTTACGGTGGATGCCCTTCCTGACGCAACCCTCTCTATTTATCTGGGCTTGGGACCAGCACAGAAGTCACTGGCTTGCAACCTCGTTTAGCAACATCACCAGGTTGATTTGTCCGGTTCTTTGTTTGTGACCAAATACTTTCAGAACGGTTAACATTTCCATCAGCCTTACTTTTACATATGTTAGTGCAAATTAGTAAATGTTAGCATCCTGATGTGTTACAATAAGCTGCTGAACATGGTAAAGGTTACATGTTAATAATCCAACATTAGCTCAGCCCAAAGCAACCTCACAGTGGTGCTAGCTTGGTTGTAGATTTATGGTAGTAGTCTTGTTAAAATAAATATGTCAGTGGGGTGTGCTTTCCTAATTAACTTTGGCACTCAGTAGGCTACTCCTTTACAACAGAATTGAATTAATCATTTTCATACTTTGCTTATTTTCTCTTGGTGAGTGGTTTTAAAGTCAGACAGTCACCTCTGCTGACTGAAGAATAACAAAGTAAATCTTTGCCTGAGAACACCTGCATTGTTCTGCACCACCTGTGCCAGCTCTGATCTCTGCTACTTCACACTTTAACTGCTCATACAGATTTTGCACTGATACATGCTTAAATGCACAAAACATGTTGGACTGTAAGTGAATAATAAATACCTTGCCACCTGGAAGTCATGTTGATGATGGCACTGAGTGCAGACCTGTCTGTGGTATTGTGCTGTATTATAACTTATAAAGAGCCATTTATAAATCACAGGTGTCAACAGATTCAGTCACAAACTAGGGCAATACCTTGTGATGCACTGCTACATAACTTGTGTTTCTTTTTTTTTCTTGGAATTGCATTATAATTGGAGCATAGCCACAGTGCAAGACTGCCTATATGGCTGTCTCAGCCTAAAGTGAGACTGGCAAACATATCTGGGTATTGTCAGAGCCTCATGAGACATTTCCTCATGTGGGCTGACCATGTTGTAGCTGGGAGGAAAGCACACATACTGTTCTACACAAGCAAAAACCAGCTTCTCTGCCTCTATGCAAAAAGGAAGGAGAGCAGCAGACTCGTTATTTAACTGGCTTTTGACAGCTGGGGCATAACAGAGGGACAGAAAGTGTGTGTGCATGAATGTGTGTGTGAGTGACAGAGAAAAAGAAAGTGTGTGTGTGTACACATGTATCTGTGCATGAACTTATGTGTGTGTCCAATCCCATTTGCATTTGTGTGTGCTTGGTCATGTGCATATGTATGTGTGGCACAGTAGACCAGAACAGAGCTCTGACAGTAGCAGGCCTGCCGCTCGCTGATGCCTGTCTGGAGGAGCTGACAGCGGCCTGGCCTGTCAATCACCGAGCATGCCCACTAGCCCCCCATTCACATCATCCTATCTTGTTAACTCTAAATCTGGATGTGTGCTGTTTATAAACTCTGTGTGAGTGTGTGTCTTTATGTGTGTGTGTGTGTCCTTTTCTCAGATGTGCTTCTGTGTTACAGTCTTAGCTGTTTGGATTGTTTCAGGCAGAGATCAGTCAAGACAAACTGGGGAAAAGCCGGTACAGAGATTGCTAAGAATCATGTCATGCTGAGAGAGTAATTCATTTTTGTAAAAACATGTCCACATGGTAGCCTATATATAAAGCCCTGATGTGATTAGTCAACATATTGAAGAACTATTAAAAATTCCCATCAAAACACCTTGCTAATATAAACATAACCCAATCAAAAAACAAACAAACAAAAAACAGCAACAACAACAACAAAAAAACCCCAACAATTCAGTAACACTGGGTGTATTTTTATCTCTAAAGTGGTCCACACTATTTATGATAGGCCAAGCATTGATGCCATTGAGAAAAAGAGAGCAAGAGCTCTTGTAGTCAAAGGCAATTATCTCTTCTTGTCACTCACAATGGATGCCAGCTAATGAGAACTGGACTGGTGATTGGTTGGCTCGGGGTCTGTGGAGACACTTGGCTCTTTTGGTTTTGACAATAGAGCCTCGGTAAACAGCAAAGACAAAGTGACTGGACAAGTCATTCATCTATACAAATGCCAGCCAAAATGTTACTACTGCCGTATACAAGATCCATTAGGCTCTTAATTATCAAGGGATACAGGCTGGTGTGTGTATGTGTCTGTATTTGTGTGTGTGTAAGACAAATCTGTTAATGTGTGCGTGTTGTCTAAATGTATTAGAAAACTTTCATTAGAGGTTATAGAAATGAAAAATAGAAAGAAGCTGCAATCTAGCAAGCTATGTCACTGTGTCATATCAACAATATTAGTGCTGCTATCCAACCAATTTAAGCTCATCCGACTTCTACACACTGTCATATTTAGTTTTTTTGTAAATGCCTTGAGGCCTGAAATAAAACCCAATTAAATTTTGTTCTCAGTTTAATTTAAAATCAATTATTTAAAGAAGCTCTAATTTCTTGTATCGGGGACTAGACTATATCTAAAATTGTTAAATATTTCCAACCTTTTAGAGACATGGGTAACTATGCTATATTTTACCATTATACTTCACAGACTACAATACTGTATGTACAATGAAAAAACTACAGGACACAGCAGTGAGACTGCATCTGAAGATAAATAATATGCAAGTATTTGTAACAGCATGAATTATATTAATGCTTAGCTGTATTAAAAATAATTACATGGTTATTTTTAGAAAAGCAGTTAAGGTAACAAATGTCAGTCCTTGATGGTAGCGGCTATGATAAATAAAATGTGAATATACTGCAGTTTTAAAAAACAAATTTTGGTAATTCAAAACACAAAAAGTTAAATTTTAAATAAAAGTATTGTTTTTTTATTGTATAAAAAAGGCACAGAAAGAAGTTGTGGCTGTTTATACTGTATAGTGCACACATGTCACAGGAGTAGAAGTATCTAACAGGCAAACTAAGTAATCATATGCCATTTGGTCTCTCTGCAGGTCAATAATAATCTTGAGCAATCTTATTAGATATTTCTAATATATTGGACCAGTAATATGGTATGGCACTCTGGAGTAGTGTAGTTTAAATTAATCTAGGTTTAACCATTGGAAAATAACATTTGAATGTTAAATTAGCTGAGGCTGCAAGAAAGTGGTGTTCAGCATCCCAGGGTAATAACAGCATGAAAACACAGTAACAGTTAAGGGGCCCTGAAAATGCTCAGAAACATCCAAACTTCTGTATATGTGTATGCAAGTGAGTGTGTATACTGTATGTGTTTGTGTGGGAGCTAGTCTCTCAAACACTGTTTCTGTTTGATTAGAATCGTTCTAACCCCCCC